TTACCTCTGCAAAACTAGGTTGGATTAAAAGCATATTATTCAAGGTTTTTCTTCGATGAAAAACGAAACGAAACATTCTACCGTTCTTCCTGATATTTTTATTTATTTAAGAGCAACATTACAATAAAAATAAATGGAATTGATATCTGCTTACCAGTTAAACAGTAGCAAGGAACCTCTGCTTCAGGTTTCATTTTCTCCAAAATGAAACTCGCCCACTAATCGGGTTTTATAGAAAAAGTTACAGTTTCATTACTTTAATGGTCTGTGAATTTTTAAGTGACTCTAAGATATTCAAGAATTTTTTCCACTCAAGGAGCGCCACTTAACACTTTTATTAAAAAGTTCCTTGTAAAATCGTTAATCATAAGTTAGATTAAGTAAATTAAATTAGAATTTGTGTGCGTCTTTGAATCACTGCATGCAATGTTGAACATAATTAAGTTGCATTTCGGAATTCAATATTGTTTTTGGATTAAAATACCTTTCAACTATTGAATAACTTCCGTATAAATAAATGATAATCGAATAAAGCAGCAAACAGTAAGTCGGAAGTGGCGGAATGTCCGCGTCGCTCGCGGCCTCCGGACCCTAATTAGTTAGGGAAATGCAACTTAAACAATTTCCCACTGTTTCTGGTTCCACTTTTAATATCTTGTGGATTTGATAATTTGTTTTACTATATCCATTTATTTGTGCCCGTGAATATTACATGCAAGCATATGTTTCTGGTAACTGTATGGTTAATCATAACAGTTAATTCTGTCCCTATTTGTCCTGCTCAAAATGAATGTTAAATTTGAGTGCGTAGTTATTATGTCACTTGCATTGGCCAAACTCATGGATATATTACATATATGTATTACCGATGTAGTTTATTGTAATTAATATAATGTATCATGTTTTTTTTTTGTAAAAATTTGAGAGATAGAAAAAGTCCCGGGACACAATGGTGACACAATTAGAGTATTATTAATAATAAAAAAAACTCATGGATATCAATAATTTAAGGCTCGGTCTGTGGAGTTTTGCGTAGTCGCAATGAACTTTTTTGCGAGTCCGCTCCCAAAACCGCTGATTTATATCACGTAGGTACTCATCAGTTTTATACAAAAGTATAAAAATTTACAAAAAAACAATGTTTAAATGAAAACAATGCGTAAAATGTTTATTGTAATAATAATAGTGCAAATAATTGTACGAGGTTGTGTACTTATTAATTAACGTCACCCAAATTAGTCTCAGATTATCCAAAACTGTATTTATACATGTGTTATTAAATTCTAAAAAACAACTATTATTAAATCATTCTCTACATTATAAAAAATAAAATATATTGTTAACTACAAAATATTCAAGTTTTATCTCGCTGCTATATTCATGAACATTATTCAGTACCATAATATTTATCTTAGGTAGGTATTAGAAGGAAAGTAGAAGCAGTTGGCAGCAGAGGGCACGGCCGAGCGATGTGAGCCCCATTGTAATAGAATCCCCGCTGGAGAATTTTCCACGAGATTTAACACGATAAAAATGTCTCTTACGCGCCTTTCCGACTTTCCAATACAACGTTATATTTTCTCTTTTATAGTTTTTATTTTTATTTCTCTTTCCAGTCGCTCGGAATGATTTCTAAATTAAAGTATTCGATTGAATGTGACATATTTATTATTACTAAAATAATATTGCTCTGAAGAAAACATTTACGATTTTGAAATTGAAAAAATAATGGCTTTCATCTACTAGCGACTGGAATAAAAACATTGCCTAGATTCGCGATTTACCCTTTCATGAGAATTACTTTTCGCTGGAGCTAATTAAGAATTCGTCGTATCTGCTAACTCGTCAAAATTAAACCAAAAATACGAGCATTTGAATTCGAGCTCGGCTTGAAAAAAATAGTCATTTATAACTGCTAGTGCAATTAGAGTTTGTAATGACAAATTCGAACAAAAATTAATTTTAAAAGTTTCCGTTTCGAGTTAAATTCACACGAAGTGCACTGCACAAATTCCCAAAGGTATAAAAAGTTGGTGACGCCGCGTCACGTCTCACGGAGCTTATAACGGCGTACGGGGCGTTATCAGCGGGCACGCGCGCCGCAAATACGTATAAAAAACGAGCATGATGTAATAAAATGTTGGGGTGAAAATAAAAAGAGGTCGAATGTACCCCGCACCAGCGGCCTCCTCTCCGCGGAAAAACTCTCATTTTTTATCATTTCTCAGCACATTGACGGCCAGCTTTAGTTTGTAGAAAATATGATCTTTTGGACGAAAATACATTATTCCGAATGAAGAACTCGTTTTTATCCTACGTAACTTGGTACTAAGTAAGTTGTGAGCTTAAGGTTTTATTTTTAGTTTAAATGATGTAGCCACATCATTCATCACACCAAGCTTTATTTATTTAGAGTTAGTGCTTTACTTACATGTAATACTAATTTAAATGCAAAATGAAGTTGATGTACCAGATGTTTGTTCATAGTTAAAACGCAGGAACGATTTTGTGTCTAAACAAATGGACATGATCTGTTTACCATAATAAATAAATTAATGTCCTAAAAAATATTTATGAAAAGGATGATATCACTTGATACTGTTACAAAAAAATAACGCATGTTTTGTATATTTTATATGTATTCTAAGCTATAGAAAACATTCAAATATCAAACGAAATTGATTTATTATTTTAATTTACTTAAAAGTTCATCTTGGCAACTTTTCAATCAACAACTTTTACGCATTTGTATGCCCTGTCCTTGTTCTTAATTTAAATAAACCGAATAAATAAAGAAGCTTCTGGGACATACTGAGACATATTATTTTTTAATTATCGCTAGCAATCAACGTAGATAGAAATAATACTTTATGTTTGTAATGTTGGCGTATTCAGGGATAATGTTATGCGAAGGTTTTGTTTACAATCAGGATTCGATTATTATATATACTATATTTTAACATCTAATTGCACAATCAATAATTTGTAACAGCTTATACTTGTTGTATATCGTCATCGCATTTATTCGTTTTATTTAAGTTTTAAGCGCTAAAATTCAAAATAAAAGTTCTACTAATACATTAATATTACCATTTAATTCGCCTCGCTAGTCGCAGGACCTGTAATACAATCTGAATGTGTGTAAGTCTTCAACAACGATAATATAATTAATGCCCATGGTACATAACGTGTATAAAACTGAACGCTCCACGAGTTTCCTTCATCTACGCTTTGAAGACAGCTTCAAAATTCAATTACACGAAATTAAATACTCCGTCCGTAATAATATAAAGCCTTATCCTGTAACAATTTAGTTGGATGTTATCGGAGTTACTGAAATTGTACAAACATCGCGCAGCGAGGTTGGGTCGGGACGGAGACCACACTTTGTGAGTTTAGGGGATCATAAATATTATCTCACATAATACAAACATACGCCTCTACCTCATGTCTTATTCCTGGAGCTCAGGTAAAACGAATAATCTGTAGACAACGCATTGAGCATGGTAAAATGATCTTACAAATGTAGCAGTAGTGAACCGCATTAAGTTTTTTTAGTAAGTAGTAAAGCCAAAAATAAAAAAGAGATTTTTCGATGGTGTTATTTATTTTTATTATATAATAAAGGAACGCGAACAAATTACCAAACACTGTCGTAACAGGTTGTCTGCGAGTTAGAATTTATGTTATGATGCATTTGAACGTTGAACAGTAACTAAAATTAAGCACCGTGCTGCTAACAGCTATCAAATAACAATACTTTAGTGACGGAACGATCCACGCTATACTTTATGTTGTTTGTCACTGAATTCAGTACAAGTTTCATAGCATCGACTTTATTTTTATTTTATGTGTCGAAATCCTTACAACTTGCAAATTCATAGCATCACCGACCGGTATTTATCTATTCCTGAGACTTAAATGTAAACTATAAAGTTTGTCTTGTTATTCAGTTGCATTCTTTGTTGGCAACGTTGTATTTTATTCAAATCTTTTCACTTTTGAGAATACTTGACAGCCATAAACACTTTTACATGAACAGTAATATAATTAAATTACCTAACACAAACCTCTTAAAACAACACTCGTAATAAAATAAAAAAATTTCATACATTTAACTGTTCACGACACTGTCGAAGTGACAATTAAATATCAGGCAAGTCACCGCAGAGTGATATTGCGAACCACTTATGAGTAACTCCAGCAAACTCCTATAAAACACGGAGCTGTATTTGCTCATCACCGATGCGCCCTGCGTTTATAGATCACGTTATATCCGTGTTTCCAAGTTTGCTCTTGAAACGTTTTCTTTTAGATTGTTAGCGTCTTGGAATTGTTTATTTTGTGCAGTAATCAGCTTTTGTTGCTGAGCGAGGAAACTTTTTGCGCATTCAAAAAAGCGATCGGTTTGTGATTTTAGGTACAATGTATATTCAACATCCTTTTTCATAGAATTTGATAAATAAATTCTGGTAAAGGTTAGATTAGGTTGGGTTAATCGTGGAATACGGATGATCAAAAAGACATATCTAAAAAGTAGGTTTTATGTGAATTGAGATAATACGAGCAGGATGAACTAGGCGATTTGTCCTAGTTTATCACGAATATTGGTCACGCTCGCAAACCCTTCATCCTCTCGCAATTACATTCTGTTATGGGATTATATTTGGATTTTGGGGTTACCGAATCTTAATCGTATTAGGCGGGACAAAATCGCCTTAAATTTTTCTATCGGCACTTGCAATTTCTTGGGTCAAATCGAAAATTGAAGGTCGGTTTCGTTCAACCCACATACATATAATACTAATAAAATATAAGTAAACATGTATTATAACTAAAATGTAGAGTTTGTGAAGCTAGGGCCTGTAGTCTTTACTTTCGCGTAGATCAGATCTCAGTGTGATGACCTTTTGATAGTGCAAGCCATAAGCCTCGTCTTGGCAAAATTAAACAACGGGATATATACGAGATGTATACGTAACTTAACTTAAGAGAGTACATTAAATACTTATGCCGTGTAATGAGAGTGATGTTTTATGAAGACGTGGGGTGCGGGAGGTCGCGGCCGCCTGACCCCGCCGCTGCACAACAAAGGCAGCTTCATTAGTCCGCGAGACATCTGAAACGAGAAAGAATCCACTAACAAGCGTCGCCGAATAAATACAATTTGCTGCTTCCCTTATTTGGCTTAACGAGTTATGTTGTTCCCGAACAGCGGGAGTCGTGAGGTTTTTAAAATTCCACCCGACTACAAAATGTCGCGCAAGAAAAAGAACTTGAATTGGTTCTAATAATAAATTAACTAAACGCTGTTGACTTTTAATTTCTTCACTATCTTGGATCATTAGCATGGCTTGATCTGCTCTCCTAGCCACGTACTAATGTTTTACAAATAATATCGCAGCTATTTACTGTCAGTTATTGCGAAAGTAATAAAGCTTTAAGACGTAACAAATTCCAACCCTGTCAAAAATATTTAATGTATGATTTTTCACTGAATCAAAATCGTTGCTTGATATACTATGTGAGTGCGTTAGCGACGCTGGCCGTGGTGTAATTTTCTGTAGAGTATTAAGAGCACATTCTCGTGTCCGACAGGCTTCCGGTCCCGTAACAACCCTATTGACGCCACTTCCGCTCGCTGCGGGACTCTATACACCCTAAATGAACTTGTATCGGCTTTAAAAGGCTACATTAAAAGCTTCTTTGAAAAGAGATGAAAACCGTCTCTTTTCTTAACCAGGTGTTTATAAGATAATGATTTACTATGTTTATGTACTTCTATTAAAAATATTTATCTAATAACTAACGCAACGTCTTTAACATTTATAGATAAGAGCATAAAGAGAAAAAAATGTTCCTTATTTATTTCTCTATTATGTTATATTATGACTTAATTGAACTTTGTGACTTGATGGCAACAATATGCACATACACATTGCGTGTGCGAAGTAAGTCATTGGGCCAATTTATCAAAACGTTGCTATTTCCTGCGGCATTCCACGTTTTAGTGATAAGGCGGGCGTGACTGTCGACACCTCACTCGGCGCCGGAGCCGACCGACTTATTTTATGGCTCGCAATAACGAAATGCTAGTAATATTAACTCGCAAAGAATGGCCTTTCAGCGAAACACATTCACTTATTTACGATTTTTCAGTAAGAATTAAAGAAAACTGGTTTACTATAATCTCTAAATCACCAAGTTTTAGTATATTTATTTGTATCGCATACTTTTAGCATGAATGTTTACAAAAGAAAGTAATGTTATTGGACTAACGACTTCGTAAATAGAATAACAACAGTCAAATTATTCAGCAAATGATTTATGCAGCAATGTCCATCAAAATACACAATGCTTAAATTAAAATAACTGTTATATTTTTTATTAATTATTATTAATCATCGGTTTTTTTAATGGAATTATTGCTACAGATTCAGCAATTACTTTTGACGTTACCTATGTGTTATAATCACTAACCCTACTATCTTATGTAAGTAGATGATTTCTGAGAAATTACATAATTAATATTATCATAAAATAAGGCGCCGGTAATTCATAATGAATTTAATTCATTACTAGACCCTTGTTCCGTGGGGTCCTAGTGCTGTAAGGTTTTTTAAGGAAAAATCAATAAGGTTAGTCGACATCACAGGAGACCGAAGAGCTGGCAGCCCACAAAGATTGGTCTAGATATTCAAAGGGGGAACGCTGCCAGTATCTTCGAAACCTTGCCTTAAGGGACTCCTTTTAATAATATATTTTAGTTATTATATTTTAAGGTTAGTTATTGTTTTTATTGTTGTTCTTTTTTTTGTATTTATTACATAAGCATTATATTATTCACGCACAAGCTACTACTAACTTAACCATGGTACGATCAAAGACAATTAGAGTGAGAATAGCCTGCATAAGTTTGAACCAGTTATCGACGCTAGAAATCCCTCGTAGCAATCCTGAGCATCATATGACCTCTTACTGTAGTAATTAAATAATAACAATTATACTAACAAGTAACCACTCAACGCGTCAGTGCAGGATTTCGACTATGAGACGTCCAGATATATCTGAATAGCAGAATAGAGAAAATTCTTGCTTTTAATATTTTGAGGAAAATCTTAGTAAAATAAACATAGCTTACTTTAGTGAATAGTGCGAACATGAACAATGCACACATTTGACCGGGTGTGACGGCAGTGCTCGTGTGGAAAGTGGAATTAAGATAAAAGTCAGCTTCGTACATACATTATGAGCACTTTACCCCTTTCGGGCAATTCCAACTCTGGCCCGTTTCGCTCACGTTGCTAAATTTCCCTCTGCGCTCTACATATTGGATAAACCGAATGAATTCTCGTGATTCATGTTTACTTTTCTGCACGGACCGATATACTTTTTTATTAGTTCACTTTCTCATGCCTTGCTCGTATAAATTTGCGCCTTTAGGTTTAAAAATTTATTTTCTCATCAACAATGTCACTTACATAGACTACTAATCAATTTTCACGACTGTTTAAGCTCAAGGATCATCTCGAAGTATAATTTTGGTGGACAGTCATTTGCGTAGGTAATTAGGATCATCAAAGATGGTCTTTTAGTTTAAGTTTGAATATGCCAGGCTGTCTCACTTTTTATATTTTGTGGTAGTCTATTTAACCAAACTCCCCCAACGCTCAATGTTTTTCTACGTTATTAGTTCTAAACTTCGGTAAACAAGTTGTGAGGGGTCTAAGTCGCTTCTGAATTTGGCTTATTTTAGTAAAGGTAATGTTAGTATGTATGTGGTCGTTTAGAATTTTGTATATTAGTAAGCTGGTGTTATATTGGAATAATTGTTTAATATTCGTGAGTTTTGTTTCACTGTAAATTTTTTTGTAGAAGTTAAGTATGGGTAATGAAAAACAATTTAATTACTTTATTTTGAGCAATTTGAAGGTGAGAAATATTAGTTTTAGTCCAGGCTCCCAAATTTCAATAAGGTAAAGAAGGTGTGATTTTGCCAAAGAATTATAAATATGAAAGAACTTCACGAGAAGGCTTCGAACTATGTGTCTAAGGGAACCTCTTAAAGAAGATAATTTAGTTATTAAATGATTTATGTCTTGTCCATGTTAAGTTATTGTCAATATATAATCAAATATTTTTCACTTTTCTTTTCAATTAGTGGTACATTATTTATTGTTATAGGCGAATTGGTGGGATTTTAACATTTTTAGGTTTAAAAATTAAGTACGATGTTTTAGCAGTGTTGATATTAGCAATTTCGATTGAAACCACAAGTAAAATAGTCAAGGTCCTTTTGCACTCGAGAAATTATATCATGCACAATGAACCAGTGTATAGGAGACAGGTATCATCCGCATACAAGGTTATCTGTCCATGCAAGTTAAGGTGTTGTATGTCATTTAAATAAATTAAAAACAATAATGGGCCCAATATTGATCCCTGTGGTACTCCACAAAGATAGGTAAGAGTTTACTTTGACATCATTAATTTTAACTACTTGGGATCTATTGTTTAAATATTTTGAACATTTTTAAGGCATTCCAGTTATTCCAATCGTTTCCAGCTTTTCTACGAGAAGCAGTGGCAAACTTGTCGAAAGCTTTCATTATATCAATGAATACTACAAGGACAATTTTCCTTTGGTCGTTTAGTTTTAATTTTTGTAATGAGATTAATTTACTGATAATGTATTAGATTTTGATCTAAATCCATATTGGTGTTCGTATAAAAAGTTTATATTATTTAGGTGGTCTAATAAGCGCGTGTATAAAACTCTTTCTATATCTTGACATAACCGGCAATACCGAGATGGGTCTTAGTTACCTGGATCATCTCTGGGCCCAGATTTGTTATTGATGACCTTGGCGATCTTTAAGTTATCAGGGAACTTGCGTCCCTGAGTAATTCGTTAAGACAGGACGTTAAGTTATCAAGAATCTGACTTTTAATACATTTAATGATTTTGGTTGTGATGCCACTTACCTGAACTACAGTTTGGGTCAAGATTGTTAATAATTTGGGAAATTTCCTGAGCTGTACACGGTCTAAGAATATTTAAAATAATTTGTATGTTGTTATTTGGTACGGTTAGATTGAAATTGTTTTGTTTTATTACGTAGATGATTAGTGAGATTTAACCCAATAGTAGAAAAGAAATTATTAAAAATCACAAATGAGAATGGGATCAGTTATTATATATGAATTAACATTCAGCTTTGTGGGAGCAATGGTATCTTTCTTTTTGTTAGCGGCAAAGTTCTTTCAATAGACTCCACATTTTCTTTGGATTTGTGCATTTTAGAAATTGGCTGTAATAATAACTATCCTTAGTTTTCTTAATAACTTTTGTTACAGACTCTTTTATTTTATGGAATTCATTCTTACGAGAATTGTCTCTGTTATTTTTGTATTTCTTCCACAGGTCATTCCTATCATTTATAATATTAATTATTTCCTTATTAATCCAGTCATTTCGTGGAGATTTAAAATTTTTGTCTTTGTTATTTTGTTGTTTTTAACGTTTTGCTTTATTAAGTCATCAAGAACTGTGTATTCAAAACCTGGATTCTAATGTTGACATCTCTTACTTTGAATAAATTTTCATAATTTATACGTCAATTAATTCGCTCTTCGGAGTTGGTTTAATTTTTTTAATTGCAAATAAATCTGTTTGTGGTCAGCCATAGGTAAATCAATTTGATAAGTGAAAGTTGTCATTTAGTAAATCTGTACTATTCAATATTGTCTTTGATGTATGGGTTTCTCTAGTACAATACATCGGGTCAATTTTATTCAATAGCTTGTGACCTTGTCCTGAAGCGATTCTTGTATAAAGTGGTATTTCTGTTTCTAGTAAGTAAGTCTATATTAAAATCACCAAAAACGAGATACGGTTTCGTTTCTGTAACTGTGCTTCTATTATCTATAAATTTTTATAATTAGTTACCAGGGTTATATATAAGTCAATTTCAAGAGAATAGTTCACAAGTGTTACCCATAAGTAATTATTCCCATCTATGAATGTAGATTCACAAGATATGTTTTAAATCATTGTGTATAAAAATGGAAACACCTCCACCTGTTTATCAGTTCTGAGGTTGTAATAGTGTGTAACTAAGATGAAATGAACGACATGCTCGTACTTTAACAGGTCCGGTAACAAATAATATGTGTCTTGGATTTAATCACTTCAGTAGGCATTTCAATTCATCAAATTTACCTGCACGACATATACTCGAACATTTGCATAGAAAAAATTCATACGTGAGGTTGCAATTGAGATCTTGATAGTTAGTAGGTCTTTTACAAGTTTTTTTTGTCAAAGCTTAATGTTTGGAGTTTTGATTTG